AAAATACAAACATGTGTTTTTTATTATCACATGTCAAGCTAGCAATGAAATGTTTCTTCGCTTTTATGTTGCATTTTAATATTAACTCCTTCCTGATCGTGTCAGATGAAACCTTAAACTACAGAAACCACAATAACTATTACTGCAATGCACAAATTAAAATCAGGTTCCTTCAGGATATTTGAAGATTATAATAACAGAGTTTAGAAAATTCTAAACACTGTTCATATCAAAGAATCAGGTTGTAAAACCATGGAAATAGTAGACAACCCAAAGGAAACTGATCTAAGATCTGCTTTGAACAGAACAATGAACTGTTCCTATCATCATTTTTGTCATCAACAACTCATCACTTCCCTCTCCTCCCCAAAATATTTGCTGATTATTGGTAACACTATTACACAGCCAGAAAGAAGGAGAGAACCAATGCCTTCTTTCTGGTTCCATGGGCACCTCTGCTAATGTCAGAATGGGGGGCCTGCAATGGCCAGGAGCTCTGCATTCGACTGGGAATGGCAACAATGATGACACAGGCACAATTCATTCCCTTTTCTTCATGCTGATAAGTGCAGGGAAAGGGGGACAGCAGCAGTGCCCAGTGTAGACAGCAAACTGATCCGATTTGGATCCAATTTTATTGTCCATTCTGCCCCAAATCTACAAGGTTACTCTGGAGTTTAAGACAAACTCTGGAGCATACCTTGATGCTTACTAGCATGGGGCTAAAACAGATTCACCCGGTTTAATGCACAATATTTACTGGAAATGGACAAAAGTTATGGGGACAGCCAAGAGCTAATTCAGACTGGATATACACTGCCATTTAATACAGATTATCAAAGCAGACAATCTAAATAGATAATCCAAATTACCTGCTTTGAACTCGATTATATGAGTCTATACTGATATATTCCAGTTCAAAGCAGATGATCTATATTTTAAATGGCAGTTAGATCCAGCCTCAGGTTGAGTCTGGATCATAACACCATAGATCTTTGTTTGCTTGGGAAAGTTAGAGTGCAACTCCTGTGTATTAAAGTCAGAGTTTGCAAAAGTGTTGAGTACAACTTAGCATTTTCCCCCTTCATTGTACAATAATAATAACAACAACAATAATAATAAACTTTGTATTGTCAAAGGCTTTCATGGCTGGAATCACTGGGTTGTTTTAGGTTTTTTCGGGCTATATGGCCATGTTCTAGAGGCATTTTCTCCTGACGTTTTGCCTGCATCTATGGCAAGCATCCTCAGAGATAGTGAGGTATGTTGGAACTAGGAAAAGGGGGTTTATATATCAAGGTAGTCAGTTGAAACATTCACACCTAGCTCCAACAGACAAGAGTCCTTTGTCCCACCCTGGTCATTCCACAGATATATAAACCCTTTTTTCCTAGTTCCAAAATTACATATAAAAAAACATATGAATACAATAACAAAATAACATTACAATAAACACAGTCACAGTAACAGTGGGCGGACCACATGTACACGATAAAATGTTAAAAAAACCTCTAATGAGATAAAATTAGGAGCAAGTTATTTGCTCATAAAGACACACATGGTTGTGAAACTAAACTTCCCATGGGGGGGGGGCGTACTCCAGTGACAAAAGCGTTGAGGAAGCAATAGTGTCATGTTGTGCACCTACTCGCCAAAGGCGCAGCGGAAGAGCCAGGTTTTAAGGTTCTTTTTAAACCTTTCTAGTGTAGGGGCTTTCCTGATCTCTCCAGGTAATGAGTTCCAGAGTCGGGGAGCCACAGAGGAGAAGGCTCTCTCCCTTGTGCCCTGTGAGATTGGCAGGGGAGAAAGGAGGGCCTCCCCCGAAGATTGAAGGGCCAGGGTAGGTTCATGGAGAAAGATACGGTCACAAAGGTAGTGGATCCCAAACCGTTAAGGCTTTGTAGGTGATAACCTGCACCTTGAATTGGGCCCGGAAAATAAACGGCAGCCAGTGGAGCTCCTTAAACATGGGAGTTGACAGCTCCCTATAACTAATCCCAGTTATTAATCTGGCTGCCGAATGTTGGACAAGTTGTAGTTTCCGGGCCGTCTTCAAGGGTAGCCCCACATAGAGTGCATTGCAGTAGTCCAGTCTAGAGGTAACTAAGGCGTGGACCACCATGGTCAAGTCAGACTTCACAAGATATGGTACAAAGTAAAGCCTGGATAGCATGATTTAGTTGGACGACAACACAGGCTCCTTCCACACTGCCATATAATACAGATTATCAAAGTAAATAATCAATATAATCTGCTTTGAACTGGATCAACTGAGTCTACACTGCCATATAATCCAGTTCAAAACAAATACTCTGGATTTTATATGGCAGTGTAGAAGAGGCCATCTATATGTTAAAATCTGTGCTTTCCAGATGTGTTTTCCTCCGCTTGAATTTATAACAGTTTTGTTTTTCATTTTGTTTTTCATTCTTTGGGGACTTAAAGATACATAGAAATCAACAAGATGTACTTTTTGTGACTTCCCAGAAATGGCTCTTCTCTGTACATATTCTAACAAAACCTTATTTTCTGTATTTCAATCAGAGTACAATCTAATAAGCCAAAGGCAAAAGCAGCTGCTTGGGAAACTGGCTGCAAACATAATGACTCCACAGAAATGCAATTGAGCAAATTCCCTCCACTTAAAAAAAATCTATTCTACACATAGTGACACCACTATAAATCACCGTACCTTGTACATAAAAGAGTACACATTTAAATGTTCATAAATATAGTTAATTCATTGAAAAAAAAAGTAGTAAAATCAAACACATGACACCAATTTCATGATCTGTGACACCAGAGATTTTAGTTATGTGGCACATGGGAATCTATTTTCTTTTATCCTTATTTATAACACTCAAAGCATCTTGGACTGTTTGAACATGAATATATTTATAGTAGAGAGCCGCATCTTTTTGATACTTCAAATGTAATTGCTTCATACTACAAGCTCAGTGGTATGGAACCATAGGAGATGTAGTTTGGTGAGGCATCAGCACTATTTGGCAGTAAAGGCTAAAAACCTTGAAAAGCTACAATTCACATTATTTCATAGCATTATGATTGAGCCATAGCAGGTAACACAATGTCAATTTGTATTAATTGTACAATATAGGTGCACCCTAGTTGTTTAATGTTAGCTTGGACTAAGAAGTTGGCTGAAGTTCTTGTTTAGTGGTGTAGTAACCTATCCCTCAACTTTTCATGTTATTTTCTATGTCTCATACAGGCATGTAGCCTGGGGGGGGGGGGCTTGAGGGGCTTCAGCCCCCCCCCCCCGAAATTCTCATGGTGGTTCGCGAAAAGGCCTTACTGGTGCATTATTTAAACTGTTATGTTTATTCATATCATGATCTGATCATCATACTCAATATATCCCATATGCATGGGGGTATTGGGGTAATGATACAAAAGGTTTGCTAGAGTAGACCCTCTTTCACTCAGACTCAGCCCCCCCCCCGAAACCCCCCCTGAAAAAAAACTCACACACACACCCCCGAATCGAAATCCTGGCTATGGGCCTGGTCTCATACCAAACTTTCTGTTAAAGAAGTAATCTCCACCAACACATCTATTTTAGTAATTGAGATATACATGTATTTTATGAAAACTTGCTTCTTTAAACCATGCTGGAAGAGTCTTGGAATTTTTTTTGGAAATCTTACCCAAGCATGGGAATTACATGTTGCAGCTAGTGCTGGGAATTTCCCAAAACAGTTTGAGACAGTAGAAATCTATATAAATAACAATGTAATGTTCATTTGAGGGATTAATATAACTCAAAAACCACTGGGGGAATTGACACCAAATTTGGCCACAAGACACCCACAAACCTAAGGAGTGACCATCACTCAAAAAATTGATTTTTTCATTTGGGAGTTGTAGTTGCTGGGATTTATAGTTAACCTACAATCAAAGTACATTTTGAACTCCATCAATGATGGAATTGAACCAAACATGGCACACAGAACTCCCATGGCCAAGAGAAAACACTGGAAGGGATTGGAGGGCATTGACCTTGAGTTTGGGAGTTGTAATTCATCTATATCCAGAGAGCACTGTGGACTCAAACAATGCTTGATCTGGACCAAACTTGGCACAAGCACTCAATACACCCAAATATGAACACAGATGGAGTTTGGGGAAAATAGACCTTGACATTTGGGAGTTGTAGTTACTGGGGTTTATAGGTCACCTACAATCAAAGCGCATTCTGAACTCCATCAATGATGGAATTGAACCAAACGTGGCACACAGAACTCCCATGAGCAACAGAAAACACTAGAAGGTGTTGGAAGGCATTGACCTTGAGTTTGGGAGTTGTAATTCACCTACATCCAGAGAGCACTGTGGACTCAAACAATGCTTGATCTGGACCAAACTTGGCACAAGCACTCAATACGCCCAGATATGAACGCAGATGGAGTTTGGGGGAAATAGACCTTGACATTTGGGAGTTGTTGTTACTGGGATTTACAGTTCACCTACAATCAAAGAGCATTCTGAACCCCACCAAGAACAGAATTGGGGTAAACTTCCCACACAGAACTCCCATGACCAACAGAAAATACTTAAGGCCATCCAGTCCAACTCCCTTCAGCAGAGCAAAAAAAAAAAAACGTAATCAAAGCCCTCCTGACAAAGAGCCATCCAGCCATTGAGATAGATATATATGATTCACACAGAGACAGATATAGTATCGTAGATTTGAAAGGGACTCCTAAACAAGGACAAATCTATGTTGCATGTTCCAGAGTAGGCCAACCAGACAATCTCTACAGCAACACAAGCATACATATATTACACAAGCATTACATATATTAGAAACCAACATTTTCTCATTACTTTATTTTCCAGATCACCAGACTGGGCCACAGCAACGTGTGGCAGGGGGCGGCTAGTATGTTTTAAAAATATTTAATAGTTTGAAATCCCTTCAAAACAACAACAAATATTACTATGTCACATGGTATATTCTGAGCCTCTCCAAAACCTACCTGCTGTCTCAGATTTGATGGAAGAAGCTTCTTATCAGCCTCCAGTCAATCATCTTCTGTGTGCAGAATGAGAAAAAGCGATGTCTTCTGCTCTTTTCTCTCATGGAGCCAAATATCTTGGGATATACTTCATTAATATCCCCCTGACCCAGGCGGTCTGTTACAGATGCAGACAGGACAAGCTGTTCTCTCTTTGTCATCCCATAACAGAACCTTTTCCCTCTGATATTTTGTTAGCTTCTGCAGTTCAAAAATTAGAGACTTCCTGCCAACATTTCATACAGTTGGAAATGTTATCAAGATCTGATGAAGATGAAAACATGTTACCATTATCTATATAAATAAAAATGTAATGTTCGTTTGTGGGATTAACATAACTCAAGAACCATTGGACGAATTGACACCAAATTTGGACTCAATACACGTATCAAGCCAACGAGTGGCCATCATTTCTAAAACACTGAAAAACACAGCAGAAGGAACTTAAAATCCAAAAAAGCAAAAAGATGCTACAGCGCATGCACAAAAACGATTCTCCCGGCATACAAAACACATAATAGCATATCCACACTCTCTTCTGGACTACAACTCCCAGCATCCCCGAAACAAGGTCCTTTCAGAGAGGAGGATGATCCAAATGCACTGCTTCCAAGCTGCAAGCTTTCTTCTCCTTGGATTTCTTTGAGAGCATCCCAATCCTTGCATATTTCCAATTTCCTATTCCTGGACTGCAACTTCCAGCAATCCTCCAGAGAGAGATATTAGATAGGGACAGATAGGTAGGTAGGTAGGTAGGTAGGTAGATAGATCGATCAGGAGGACTACTGGGAGTTGCAGTCCAAAAATAGGTAGAGAAGGAAAAATGGGGAGAAAAAGGAAGGGAAAGAAAAAGGAGGGGAAAGGAAGAGGAAGAGAAGGAAGAAAGAAGGAAAGAAAAAAAGGGAAGGGAGGAGAGAGAGAGAGAAGGAGAAAAAGAGAGAGGGAAGGTTGGCCACAGCAACACATGGCGGGTATAGCTAATTAAAACACAAATTATTAAAACAACAATTAAGATCACACCATCCAAATCATAATCCAAGAGCTATTCCACTTGTAAATCTCTTTGATGCATGGTTATTTATTGCATTTTTCCAATTACTTGGCAAAAGCTTGGTCCCAAATCCATACCTTAAGTTTTTTTCCTGAAGGTCAGGAGAAAATGGGGTGATTTGATTTCATTGGGGAGGGAATTCCATGGTTGAGGAGCCACCACCGAGAAGGTCCTGTCTCTCGTTCCCACCAGTCGCTCCTGTGAAGAAGGCGGGACCGAGAGCTGGACCCCCCTGGAGGATCTTAATTGAAAGTCTTGGTAAACCTAAAGACTTTCAATCTGATTGTATAAATCCCCAACTCCCTATAAATCCCTCATCCCCAACACAAACCTAATGGCATTTAACCTTATACTCCAAAAGACTGTTAATCTATATATCCTTAGTAATGATATAAAGTTATTTCAACATCTTTGCCTTCATACAGAGGCACTTCTTCATCGTTGCAGAATATTTAAGAGGAAGCTCCATTTAATGTTCAGTACAGAAAATACATCTGCATCAGTGGAAAACAGTGGCCTCCACTTCAGTAGGATAGTGAATCTCCTCTGGGTTTTTGGTATCTACACTGCAGAATTAATGCAGTTTGACATCACCCTAACTGCCATGACTCAATACTATGGAATCATGGGAGTTGTAGTTTGGGGAGGCACCAGCACTCTTTGCCAGAGAAAGCTAAAGACCCTCACTACCTCTGAGGATGCTTGCCATAGATGCAGGCAAAACGTCAGGAGAGAATGCCTCTAGACCATGGCCATACTGCCCAAAAAAACCTACAGCAACCCAAAGCTAAAGACCTCATAAAACAACAACTCCCATGGTTCTGATATTTATGAGATTTCTAGAGTTATCCAAGGTGATGAATATATTTGGTGGCTGCCGTTCAGTGCCTTGGGAGCTCCTTTAAGTCACAAGCTTAAAGAAATAAACAGAGAGAATCATCCAAACCATAAACCATTCAAACGACATTTTGCTGCCAGAGGCAAAGCAACAAATGGTGCCTTCTCATCCAACCAAAGCTTATGCTATCCCAAAGCCATCAAAACTATTCTGCCACTGGAAGCAGAAAATCCCACATGTATTTTTCCCCAAGCCTGGCAGTAGAAGAAATTCCAGGACAAAACAATATGCTTCCCCTTTGTGAAACACAAACTCTACTCGCTCCAGTGGCTACTTTGCCTAACAGTAGCACCATCTCTAATCAGAGGGAAATGTGGTTTTGTATTGTTGAAGGCTTTCACAGCCGGAATCACTGGGGTGTTCCTTATGCCGCTCCTCATAGGGGATTGGTTTCCAAACCTTTGATAATTTTGATCACGCTTCTCCAGACACATTCTAGCTTTCCCAGAATTCCCTCAGCCAGCAGCATGGGAGGATTTGGGGCAATAGGGGTTTCTGGTTTCCATTAGATAAAACATCCAAAGTGTGGAAATCTATTGACACAAAATGGGTTCAGCACCTTGGAGAGTTTCTTTAACATTCAAACTAAAGCCCGGGCCCCTTCTACGCAGCCATTATATGAGTCTACACTGCCATATAATGCAGTTCAAAGCAGATAATCTGGATTTTATATGGCAGTATAGAAGGGGCCCCAATATAGATTCACATCTCTAAAGCACTGTTATGTGTTGGTCTCAATTGGGGTCCCTTTGGCTCAGTGTTAGTGTCCCAAAAATTTGGCAACAGTAAAAGGTTTCTGAACACCACTCACTTACAGAATATGCTTCAGCTGTACAAATAGTGAAATCAGCCTGTTTAGCAAGTCTAACAAATGCTCGTGTATTATCACGATCTCACCATCTGTCTGTCTGTCTATCTATCTATCTATCTATCTATCTATCTAAATCTATAAAATTAAAATGTAATGTTCATTTGTGGGATTAACATAAGGGAAAAAACACTGGGCAAATAGGTATATTTGGACACAATACACCTATCAGGCCAACGAGTGACCATCACTCATAAAAACACTGAAAAACACAGCAGAAGAGATTTAAAAAGCCATAAACAAAAAATACATTACAACACATGTGCAAAACCACATATGTATACACAAATACACATATATACACATATATACAAATACATATATACAGACTGGGCCAGAGCAATGCTTAGCAGGCGACAGCTACTCTATATAAATAAAAATGTAATGTTTGTTTGTGGGATTAACAGAATGCAAAAACCACTGGACAAATTGACACCAAATTTGGACACAAGACACCTAACAACCCAATGTATGTCCTTCACTCAAAAAAAAATGATTTTGTCATTTGGGAGTTTTAGTTGCTGGGATTTATAGCTCACCTACAATCAAAGAGCATTCTGAACTCCATCAACGATGGAATTGAACCAAACTTGGCACACAGAATTCCGATAACCAATAGAAAATACTGGAAGGGTTTGGTGGGCATTGACCTTGGGTTTGGGAGTTGTAGTTCACCTACATCCAGAGAGCACTGTGGAATCACACTATGATGGATCTGGACCAAAATTGGCACAAGAACTCAATACGCCCAAATATGAACACAGATGGAGTTTGGGGGAAATAGACCTTGACATTTGGCAGTTGTAGTCACTGGGATTCACAGTTCACCAGGCATGTAGCCGGGGGGGGGGGCTCGGGGGGCTTCAGCCCCCCCCGAAATTCTCATGGTGGTTCGCGAAAAGGCCTTACTGGTGCATTATTTAAACTGTTATGTTTATTCATATCATGATCTGATCACCATACTCAATATATCCCATATGCATGGGGGTATTGGGGTAATGATACAAAAGGTTTGCTAGGCTAGACCCTCTTTCACTCAGACTCAGCCCCCCCCCAAACTCAGCCCCCCCCCCGAAACCCCCCCTGAAAAAAATTCACCCCCCCCCCCCGAAACGAAATCCTGGCTACGGGCCTGCAGTTCACCTACAATCAAAGAGCATTCTGAACCCCACGAATGACAGAATCAGGACAAACTTCCCACACAGAACCCCCATGACCAACAGAAAATACTTAAGGCCATCCAATCCAACTCCCTTCATCAGGGCAAGAAAACGTAATCAAAGTCCTCCTGACAAAGAGCCATCCAGCCATAGATATAGATAGATAAATATGATTCACACACAGAGAGATATAGTATTATAGATTTGAAAGGGACCCTTAAAGAAGGACAATGATATGTTGCATGTTCCAGGGTGGGCAAACCAGACACTCTCCACATCAACACTGACAAAGAAACAGCAAGAAATACTGTTTACCCACAAGCAGAAAGACATTACATATATTAGAAACCAACACTTTCTCATTACTTTATTTTCCAGATCAACAGACTGGGCCACAGCAACGCGTGGCAGGGGACAGCTAGTAATATATAGAATATTTGAGTGTGCGTGTGTGTGTCTATATATATATATATATATATATAGAGAGAGAGAGAGAGAGAGAGACATGCACACTCAAACACACATATACAAAAATATTTATACACACATATATACACACACACAACACATATACACAGACTGGGCCACAGCAACGCATGGCAGGGGAGAGCTACTCTATAATATACCTATGTACCTGGGATCATGTAAAAATTCAAGCGGAAAGTGGTCATGACTGGAAAAAGACATGGAAACTACTAACAAACTTTATGCTAAAAAGTTAAACATTTCCGGACTTTGGCATCACGTCTCCATTTATACATTATCAGCTATTGAGAGGAGCACAGAATGATTAGAGTTACTGATTTCTCAGCTCCTTTTGCTGGGGCTCAGGTTTTGTTGGCAGCCCCCCCCCCCCCGACCCCCTGCTGTGCAGCATCCTTTTCTATTGCACATGATGCTTGTTTCCTGCCTCTGTTTCCCCTTATGTTTCCCACAATGGGAAGCCCCTGAAGCAGGACATACGTAGCCCTACTTTCATGTGACCCCTTCTAAAGCAAAGCCTTGAACCCACCCGGGGACCTTTTCCATGGCTTCACAATAGTTTTCTGCTAATCACTCCCATTGGAAGAGCTTATCATAACATCCTGTGGCAGTGAATTCCATGGGTTAATTATGCACAGTGTAAAAAGAAGGCGTTTTTATCTTTCTTTATCCTGATTCACCTGCTTCCGAGCATTAACAGCAGTGAATGACCCCGAGCGTTTAGGGAGAGAATGAACACATGGTTTGATCAAGCAAAAATACACAAAGAAATGATGCTTCTCGCCTACAGCCAACTGTAACACCTTTTGAAGTTCCGCCTGTTGTATAGTAAATTGTTGTCTTGGATTTTAAATTTTCCAGAAATCATCACAACTTGAAACATGCACATAATTAGTGCTGGGTTTCTAACTGGCACAGAAATACCTCATATTTTTGGAGAAACACTTTTTAAAAAGTAATCCAAGTGCGTGAGATTTTATAGTGTTATGTGTTATATAAATAATTGCGGTATGGACAGGGAACT